ACCTGGATAATTCAGCTAAAAGGATGCTGCAGGGTAGAAGCTACCATCTGAAAAAGATCTTTGTAAACTTGGGTGGGTGGGGGGGAGGGAGGTACTGTTTAAATACTAATGCCTTAGCTTTTATGAAGTGGATGAGAGGTTTTGAAAGAGTTTACAACTCAAGAACAATAAATATTTTACAGTCTTGCTAAAGCCGGAAAATGATCGAACTTGTGTTCAGTGTGTTTCACCATCCAGGGACAGAGTTAGTGCTGCAGAATTATTACCTCTGCTGATGTTTCTTTTGTTTTTCTTTTTGTTGTTTTTTTTTAAAGAAAAAAGTAAAAATCAGAAAAGTTAAGGGTGAAACATAGTGATGGCAGTGCTAAACTGTAGGATGTGATTCTTGACCAGAGGAGGAAAAAAAAAAAAATCTGGTGAGAATTAGAAGAAAGATGGCTATTGGGGGCTACAAAAGAATTGAGTCTGGTGTTGGGGTGCACTTTCAGTTGCAGAACTAAATCCAAATTTGAATCCGAGGTAAGGCTTGAAATGAATTATTATAGACTCTCTACATTCAATTTAAATGTGCTTGAACTACTTTGCAAAGACGAATGGAGATAAGCCTCAGAACCCAGGAATGCTGAACACACCTGTAGGCTACACACTTGAGTTTATTTATGCTTAGAGAGTTTTTGAAAACCTGATAACCCATTTTTATATTCCACAGTGTAATATGTATGCATAACCTTGTGTTGGTCTTTTGCATAAGAACTACATGCAATTTTGTTGTTGTAACATGCCAGCATGTCTAAAGGTCTAAGGTTTAGTAATAGTTTTGACATTTTCTGGACCAAAGAGTAAATAAAAAATACAATTTTATGTCAGATTTTTTTCTTTTCTTTTAACATTCACATAGTTTTTTTTAAAAACGTTGTTACGGGCCGCTTTCCGTATATTTTATAATAATAATTTAAAAAAAAATCCAGAAGAAAGCAGTTATCCTTTTCTTTTTATATGATTACTCAATGTAATTTATTAAGCCAGAAACGTCAATAGTGCACATATCAATCTAGCAATGCTGATACAATAAACGTGCAAATTATTTAAATCAAAATAGAAGTAAATCACATACTAATCCTCAAATCAGATTTGTGGATTGTCTTTAAATCCTTTGCCTGTCACTTACAACTGATTTGCAGGAGGACTCAGGTGGTGGTCATCCAATTATCTGAATCTGCAGCGTCGGGGCCTGAAATAAGAAGGGGGAATGTGTCAATAAAACGGCTTCTAAATCAATGTTACATCCTGAGGCCTCCGAAACAGGAGGATCACAAAACTGCTAAGCCGATCATGTAAATGGAGTCCAGAGGTCAAGTCTGCAATACTGGCTGTTCATTTGTCTTTAAAAATGTCTTGTAGGAATTGATTGCCTGCAAAACGCCACACCTGCTAGAAATGGAATTAAAGACTTGAAGTTGTATTGAGAACAGAAATGTTCAAAAATTTTCATTTTTTTTTTCTCGCCAACTCTATATAAAGTGCCTTGCAAAATTGTTCATAATGTTTGACTTTTTTCTACATTTTAACAAGTTAGAACTTTAAAATTCAATACACATTATTGTGAATTTATGTGACAGATCGAAACGAAAGAGTAAATGATTGTGAAGTAAATTATGAAGTAAAAGGTTTCGGGGATTTCAATGACTTATTTATTCGTTTCATCCCCTCTGAGTTGCATGTAGTTTACACTAACGTATGTTTCTACATCATCAGTAGAAACAGATTTTGTGTGCACTACATGCTACCGCTACATTCTTTCAGTAACGTTCTAAACATCAACTTGCCAGGGACTGGAGATGGAAATTAGTCTTTATGCCTAAATTACATGACAGACTGGCAGCCGTTAATTAATGTGCATTGTCCCTTTATTAAATCACCTTGGAAACACAACAGTCATGACTGGATAATAAGTGAAAAGGAAAGGAGAGTCAAGTTGAACAGCTAAACAGCCTGTGAGATTTACAGAGCATCAACAGCAGACCTGAGTTAATCTCTCAACCAATCCGAAAACCAAACCCCGGTTGAGTCCTTTCTCTCCTTCTTCAGCTCATGCTCATCATGATAATTGATTTCTACCAACACTTGACCTGCAGTTCCACAACGCAGAGAATGCCGACACCCTCCCTGGAATGTCTGCTATTGTAAAAATGACAATAATGCCCAAGCCTAAATGCAAACCAGTGACAGATCGGGTGAAAACATTTTCTACATCAGCTGTTGACAAACGTTTTCTATCAAGTCATTTCAGCCGGAAGAGATCCATCATTCATGGTCACTGACTGAACACGGCTGAATGCTCCTGAATATCTGTGCACTCATTAACCTGCCTGCATCAGTCACGATCGCCACCAAGAGGTCACATGCAGGAACAGCAAATGGTGTAAATAATAAATAACTAAATGTGTTGCTCATTCAGCAGCAGAATTTAACTAATGACGTTTGTTTAACTTTACATTGCTCTGACTTTTACACTGACATAAACACCATTTTTTAAAAAAAAGTCTCATCATTTTATGCTGCTTAACACTGGCTCATGTGTGATTGTTTTATTTTTTTTATTTTTTATTTTTTTAGACAAATGGCTCCATCTACTGGCTGTTTGTGCAAATATTAGAAGAAAAAGAAAATATGTTGACTTTCCACAAATCCAGCCACAGAATAATTTTTTTTTTTCTATGTTCCGGTGCTTGTAAAATGTTTATCATTTTACAATGATAAACATTGTAAAATGTTTATCATTGTAAACATTGATAAACATTATCAATTGATAAAAATTGAGAATTTATAAATTCTCAATTTATAAATTGAGAATTTTTATAAATTCTCAATTTATAAAAATTGAGAATTTAATTTTCTGTTACTTACGTTTACAAATAACCTCAAAATCATCAACAGCTGTAATATGTCAAATTCAAACAAATCATATTACAATAAAAAAAACACATTTGCTTTGGGAGACAGATCAAACTCATGTTATGTATTCATTACACGAATTGTGATATATGTCAAGCAGTTATTAGAAAGTCCTAAACTCTTGAATGGATTTGGCTTTATATTCCTCACAAGGCTGTGCCTGTGCAACTCTTTCTACAACACTTTTTCCTTCCATGCAACTTTCCAAGAATATGATTTGATACAGCACGCTGAACATCTTATGGAGACCCAACGAGGGGGAAAATGGGGGGGGGAGGGGGAAATCAGCAGTCTTCTCCAGTGATTGTATACACAAATACAACTATTGTCATTTTTACATTATTGTCATTTTTATTGTTTTTATGTCATATTCTAATTTTAACATTTTGTTTTAACAGACATTTACATGTTTCTTTCCTTAAGTAATGGATCTATTTATGATTTTATTTATTTATTTATTTATTTATTATTATTATTATTATTATTATTATTATTATTATTATTATTTTCAAATCCAAGATAAAGTAACTTTTTAACAATATCCTAATATATCGAGAGGCACTGGTAAATAAACAGGAGGCAACCAGTTAAAGGAATAAACGAAGCATAAAATCTACAAGCTGATACGAATTAAAATTTAGGTGTTTATTGTCCACATAACCATCACCTGCAAAGGGAATAGGAGTACAGGACTCTCACTCCTAGCAGAATGCACTAGAGTGTAATGCAGGAATTCCAACGAGCACTGTTGCCCTCCAGTTCAGTAACATCTTCAGAGTGCGACTGCGAGACACTGACTGTGTCTGCTGGAGATAGGGGTGAAGGAGAGACGCGTCAAGCTATTGTCAAACTCTACATATTATACAGGAAGTTATTTAAAAATCCCTTCAACATAAAACAAAATCTGGAGGTTTATTTGCCTGTCAAATATACCAGTATTAAACCAAATATATGTATTATTATTATTATTATTATTATTATTATTATTATTATTATTATTATTATTATTATTATTATTATTATTATTATCTTGTGCACCTGCTGGAGATTTATTTTTAAGAAAACAAAATATCTCTTATTTTTCCTCAGTGAGGAAATTCAGGTATACAAATTGCAAAGTGACAGGCAAATAAACCTCCAGATTCACACTTTTTTTTAAGGAAAAATAAAAACAAATACAAATTTGCAACTTAAAAAAATACACAGAAACACAAGGATTCAAATAAATGTACATTTGAGTAAAGCAATTTTAAAAATGTAAAAACTTTGCTTGTTAAATAACAGCCATTAACAAAACCTCAGCAACGAAGAATTGTCGTATCCACGTGAAGACTGGAACACTAAACCAGTGAAAAATTGAGTCTTTGTGGTTAGATAATGAAATAGAAAACCTTCTAATGAAGAAGGTTAAGCAGTTCTTTTGAATCTTGAGGGTTTTTTTTTTTGTTTGTTTGCTGCAGAAAGAAGAATAGTACATGAGATCCCGGTGCATTCTGAGCACTAGTCTGAAAAATTCAAGCTTCACACTCTTTTAATAGTCACCTAAACACATCCACAAATCACACAATGCTCAATGCACTTCAGTGTTAAACATTTTGGAAACTCACAACCTCTGTAATTAAAAATGAATTATATCCAGAGTAACAACACCTTCTTCAGCATTCCCTTAGATTAAATCACAATTAACTCAAAGTTAGCATGTGACCTTCCTGACTGTTTTACAGTTTTTAGATATTGTCTTATATAAAACTTGATTGTTATTGTAACACTTTAATATTGAAAATGTAAAGGTGCTTTTCAGATGTAATAAATTCTTCTTATTATTAACACTGTAAACATTTAGGAATTGCTTAATGGAATATACTTAAAAATCACACAAATAAAGAAAGTGCGGTTTTACTGTGATTTTTTTTTTTTTTTTTTTTGTCAGAGGTAAATGAAATAAAATGTGAAAACAATGATGTCACGAATACAAAGTTCTTTGAAATGAGCTTTGCCTTTTACTTTGAAAGGGTGAACGGAACAAAGTATGGAAACTCCCTCACTCTTTCCACCGTCGGGAGAAAACCGAAGGGCTCGCGCATCTCTGATGAGACACCTTGCAGAGCGCGTGCGACTAACGTGCGAAGATAAAAGAAATGCTGTTGGACACCAGCCGCGGGCTCACGAGTCAGGCGGTGGTTGTAATCTGAAACCAGTTTGAGAAAGGGCACAAATATCGAGCCATGAAAAAACACCTGAGCCCCACGAAGCAGCAGCATGACCACCACCAGCCGCCGCCCCCACCGACAGACATCCCGGCTGCTGGCGGCGAGGTTACCGTAAACGAGCTCAACGAGCTCCTCTCCGACGGCAGCGGCTTTTACAACCTCCCCACCCAGCACTTCAATGAGGTCTTCCCCAGGATTTACATCGGAAACGCGTGAGTACTCTTTGTATATGAGCCACAGTGGCAGTCCTGTGGAGTGATATTTAGTTTTAATCCTACGTGACCATGACTAGAGTGTCGCATGCTGGGCATCACGCACGCTGGGCGGGCTTCCTGTTTTGTTCTGTGAATGCAGGGAAGAAGCGACAGGCTGTCGGTGTCAGCGGCAGTCAGCAGCTGTTCTCCAAATAAAGCAGCCTCCAAACAGGCAGGTAGATGATTTTACAACACCAGAGGAAAAACAACAGTCAAATGTCCACAAATTTATTGATACAGAATTTGGCAATTGAGACATAGAGCGAAAATTGGAAGCAGAGAAACTGAATTTAAAGACTCCATGATCTCCACATCCATACAAATCCCTACAATGTCACTGCCATGAAATCCCGTTTTCAGTAAGCCGCTCCCCTTCCTGTCCAACTGGAATCTGGATATAGCAACTCTCATTTCACCCTACTAACTTCAAAACAGGACAAAAAAAAAAAAAAAACTTTAAGGAAAGATGTCATTTTCATTGTAATAATCAGAGTTGAAATGTATCCTTATAACTTCAAAAGGTGTTGCAGAGATGTAAAATGTAGTCATGATTATGGTGTTCAGTTTCATGGTAACGTATATTACGGTTTTGTACAAATGTTTTGAAAATGTTCAGGAGGAAGTTGTTGCATTAAAAGCTCACCTCACAGTTCTATCATGCAGAAATGTGAACTTAACACAAAGAAAACTTTTTAAAATTATTTCTATATATTAGAATCAAATTGTAAATCTATTAATATTCCGCTATTATATTATTAAAGAGACTTGATTGTTATAAGTTTAAGTAATTCACCAAAGTAAGAAAAAATATGAAGACAAAAAGGACAATGTACTTCTAATAATAATTATGAAAGGGCATCCAAAGTAATGAATGAACGTTATAAATGTTGGACTCGGGCTTTCGAACAGAATAACAGTCCTACTCCTCATCGGTGTGTCGAAGGACCCCCAGCTCTAGTAGAGGAGGCAACAGGTGTCTGTATGATAAACGGTATATGTTGGATGCCTCTTACCAGGAAACATTCAAAAGAATGTGCCAGAACCACATCAGCTGACTCCTTTTGATGCTAAGAGCTCTTTATGCCAGGCAAAGCTTGGTCAACCTAGAAAGAGAGAGTTCATGTTTAGTCACTTGTATCCTGGATCTGGTTCTTTGGGGATTATTCTTCTCATTTAGAGTTAGCACAATTTCATCAATTCACATACACAGTTCTGCACACTTTTTTTTTTTTTTGTGGCAATGTTTTTTTTTTTTTTTTTTTTTTTTTTTTTTGTTTCCCAAGCTTTTTATCAGAAGTGACAGCTAGTTCTCTGTGCTGTGAAGCTCCTGGCTGTTTGCGCTGTGTTCTTCAGCTGAGTTTGGCTCCAGCCATTGGTTGGTTCTGTCTGAACTGCACTTTCAAAACAAACGTAAAGCATCCATTTCCCTGTCAAATAAACTTCCTATTTTCATTTTTTTTTAAATGTTTTCAAAGGCAGAAGTGGGTGAAAGTACGATAATACTTTAATTTGTGTGACGACACATTTCAAGAAAATCATCTGTGGGATTAAAGACAACTTGAATTATTTTATTGGTAAGAAGAGTATTTGCAGGAGGTTAAAATAAATTCTTTCAGAGTGGTGATTCTAAGTTAAACGAAAATAAAAACTTATTTTTTTTTTGCGGTGTAGTGTTAAAAGACACAAAGATGGGCACTAGTCCTGGTTTGGTGGTTAGGAACCAGTGGCAAACTCAACTTGATTCGCAAGACAGGTCAGGCTGTCACAGATATTTTTGGACATGACAACAAACTCCATCATATGAACTCTCATATGTATACCTCACCAGTTTACCTTTTATACAATACTGACCCAATAATGTGATTATGTAATCTTGCGCTAAGTGTCAAGATTGCGCCAAGCCTAGTGGGCGGAGCCAAGAGACACTGAGAAGCACGGTCAAGTGTGGGGTGGGTGGGGCCGTGTGTCAGCGTGAGGAACTTTTATATCTGATCCATGGCTGAGTGACGTAAAACCGTACTGTTTTAAACAAATAGGAGAATCCAGCTGCCTAATCACTGTTCAAGCAGAGAGAAGCATTGAGATGGCCAAGGCAAAAACAATGTGGAATTAATCAAATTTATATGAAAATGTCAAAATTCACAAAGATGGCGCTCTAAATGACCAGTTTAAACAGTTTATCAACCAAAAATGTTGACTTGTAGGTTAGTTACACTTTAGGATACGGTTTGTTGTGAATGAGCATTACATTCATTTGCATTTTGTTTCTCTGCAATCTGCAAATTATCTCAGTGCTACCAGCACAGAGTTGGAGGAGGGGCCCATGGGACAGGATGCATGTCATATTCCTGGATCTCTGGGCTACACTAAAATCAATATGAATATGACTATCTGCAGGGCATGTCTCAGAGCAGAGTGCTGGCAGTCCTGTGCTCAGTGGAAGCTCATCAGGCCTGAGAGGCACTTTGATGTGCTTTCAGCCTCATAATTTCCTTTCAGAATCGAGATTTTATGTCTGATGGAGAAATTTTGTTCCATGACAAAAGAAGAAGAGTCCTTCTGTGTTTATTGCTCTTCAAAGCCAACATACAGGAAGAAAGTCAGTGAGTTATTTTATTGTCAGTGCTGTAAAGCGTTGACACTTTTTTTGATCCTTCTACTTTTCTCTGGAGTACTCTCAACATTAAACTCATTTAGCAGATGTGCACAGTGACTGTAACGATTTTCAAAATCTTTCACGCTTTCGAAAACTTTTTCCACAGAAATGAATGGGGTAAACTTTCAAACTAATCAGGCACCTTTTGCCCTATTAGGCAAGAAACATCATATATGGGGATATTCTACATTATTGGTCATTTTAATATCTTTCACCATTTTTAAAAAAATATAATAAATCATTGTCTTCATAAAAGTTTTGGTAAAACACTGCTTTTCTTCCTGCCTGAAGCTGGTGACGTCATCCAGTTTGTACTAGCTAAGCTCCTGTATCCTAATTTTTTTATTTTTTTTTTTTTTTTGCAAATTGGTCGTAGTTTGGAAAAAACTGCCAAATGTAACATTTACAAAAATATGAAAAAATATGTTTTTTTGCTTATTTGTTAAAACTATCACCATGTCCTGGTGACTGCTACTGTTGCAGAAATGCACTGTTCCAGGTCAAAAACTACCAATCAGATGAAGGTCTTAGTGTCGTTAGTCACCCTTGTGTACGCGCTGCTCAATGTACGTGCTGCTCAATGTACGCGCCGCTCAATGTGCTAATGGCGGAGAAACAATTTACAATTACAATTTACCGGAAAAACAGTTTATCCGCAACTCTGTTGTGGTGAGCAAGCTGTATTGTAGCACAGAGCTTCTAGACATGTACTTAATATTTAATATTTTCGCTTGTTTGACCCTATATTTATTTATGCATTATTTAAGCTTTTCCAACCAATTCCAGTCCCTTTTCTTATAGCATTAACTCCAGTTTTGAACAAATTCATTCTTCTTGATTTGTACACCTGTTGTGTACTAAACAATTAATACACAACAGGTGTAATAAGCAATGTAATGTTATTTGATATTAGCAGATTTTCAGGCAGAGAAAGGCAATATTGATTGCTTAGATCTGTGGCTTGTCCACTGTTTATATTAGGTGCCCAAAGAAATCCATTCTGCATAGCCAATGCATCATATTAGCAGTGCCCTGCAATCAACTGTATTTGTCTTGTTAACCCACAGAATAACTAAAAGGCAAATATGACACTAAGGTGGATATTTTGTTTTGTGTTTTCTTCATGCAATGTACCACTTTAGATGTGATTGATAATTTAGGAATCTCACTCCAATTACACACTAAAAAATATGCTGGAAAATATTCATCATAGTCTCTCACAGGAGTCTGTCCCATTAACTTTTTCCAGGTAGCTATTAATAGTTGGAATGCAGCAACCTGTGAATATTCAGCTTTTCAGACCATGACACAGTTAAAGAAGATTGAATTTCATTGGAAAGCTCTTGAAATGCAGATCTAGAAGTGCATGGGTGTTCTTTTGGTAGTTTGGTGGCATCCAAGGAACCCGTTTTTTCTCAATTTACACATAAAATTATTACGTATTAAACTAGCTTTCTCGTATAAAGCTCAGCACTCTCTGTTTGCAGATAATTAGTTTCACATGTGGCACACAAAACATTGCTATTTTAAAAAGGGACAGGGACATTTTAGTGCTCAAAAGGGAGCTGAGTGATCCGGAGACATTGGAACAGTCTTGCTGGTGTAGCATATGTGTACACAAATGTTGATAAATTAGACACATTTCCCAATATTTTGATGCGTAATACTTGAAATGCATTCTTCAACTAATATATGTCTGCACCACGCGGAGCAGTCATTTAAATTGGGGTGTAAGCGAAATTAATCTTTGGTAGAAAAACCTACTTTGATACAGACTGCCTTCTCAGATTTTTCCAGTGTTGTCTGGTTCTTCTGTCCAACCTATCTCCATGGCGAACAAAAATAATACATATAAAATTGTAGTAGGGTTTCCTGCTCCACTCCAATCCCAATTCAGTACATCAGTACTGAATTATCAGTACAGAAAACAACGACTTGAACTGTACTTGTTTAGTCAAGTGTTCTGAGAAAAGTTCCTGTTCATAAATGGATTACGTTTGTACTTTGCAGACCTGTGCTGTTGTTCAGTTCTGTTCAGTAACAGTCAGCACTCTTGACACCACAGTGCATAGCTCAGGGACAAAATAAAGGTGTGGTTGTTTGCTGGTTAGTTGTGAAGCTGCTCTTTAATAATGGATGCATTGGGACTGCGGATCCCAGGGTGAGGAGGCTGTGACTTGAGCAGGAAGGAAAGCACTGGCGCTGAACCCGGCTGAACCCTGTTCACCTCTGCATTTAGTTTGGAGAAACACTTTATTACATATAATTTCTTCCTGTCTCATCTAAGTGCTCATACTGTAAGCATTTATTGACTCATTTATGAAGTCCAGCTCAATCACCTTGCTCACAAAAGTTTTATTATTATTATTATTATTATTATTATTTTGAATGGAACCAAAGGAGCTGTGTGCCATATTTGCTTTTCTTCATCTTTGCCCTTCATTTGACACATAGGCAGATTCCAGGATTTTTTTATTGGTTCCTCCAGTGTGTGTGTGTGTGTGAACAGGGTGCTTCATTGTCACTGTCTCAAGGGAGCTGCTTGGGGTCAACCAGCCACATTTCACCATCCTGATTTTGACTTTTAAGCTCAAATAGCAGTAAAAACACACAAAGCTGTCAAAGCAAGCACCCCGGACTCATGAAGATTGATGACTCTGAAGTTGTCTTTTCTGTAGGATTTGCTGCTACATAATTCCAGCAGAGCCATAAACATTTTAAATGTTTAAGGCTCTGCTGGAATTACAGCCTTAATATCAATGATAACCTTATTTCATGTGGTTTTTCGAACGTTTTTTGTTTTACATTGCCATGTTTTGCAAAAGCAAATTTTGTGACAGTACAACCACAGTGTTCATTGTGTTTTTTCAGGATATTATGTGACATTATTTTAATGTTGAAGGAAAAGGATGTACCATCTCTTGTAAATAAAAATCAATCAATCAATCAATCAATCACATTTTATTTGTATAGCACATTTCAGCAGCAAGGCATTTCAAAGTGCTTTACATAATTAAAATAAAAACAGCATGTGACATTGAATAAACAGTGAGAAAGAGATTTTGAAAAAGCTGTGGCAAATATAGGTTCTTCAGGGACTGAATACAAATGCATGAAAAATTGTACTTTAACGAAAGTTTCAAGGGCTATGAATACTTTCTATGTACAATTAGTGACGCTGAATGCTCCATAAAACCTTGACATAACTTGGTCTTTTATACACAGTGAGACATTTTATTCACAATCAATGGACAGTGCTCTCAGGCAGTTTGGATAGTAAAGTGGTTTCAGGCATAGGGCCAGACAGACCTGAGCAGCAACCATGCTGTATGGCTTTGTTGTGGCCTGTTAGCTGTATAGATCTGATATGCTGTGTTGCTGTTTGTAAAAGCAGCATTTATTAGCACTGGAGCTGGAGCAGGAATAGATTTATTGTGTTGTGGAAATGGAGGGCATGAAGTAAGAATAAAGCTGTTGTAGTGGAATTGGCTGTAAGAGTTGAAGAGATTAGGTTTCTTGTTTTGTTTTCGTAGTTTCTTTGAATCAATATGCTGCAAAACGATGCTGTCCTGCTTTTCTCAGGCTCATTTGCTGCTGTAAATTCACTTTTTTTTAAATATAATTTATGTTGATCAAAATGTTTGTATAAAACATAATATTGTTTTTGCAAATTCTGTACATTTTTTGACAACAAGCTGCACAGTTAGGGATCCCTGGTGAAACTGTGTTAAATTCCTTTATAATAAAATCATTTTTCACAGTAGCTGTATTATATTATGTGTCATATTCAGTGGGGAGAAAATTATTCTTATGTCAAGACATATTTTATTTCACAAACTCACTGGTCTATCATTGAAATATAAGTTAGAGATGCTTATAAGCACAAAGAGTGGAAAAACAAGACACCATTGTGTGCAGCCGTTCTATTTGGGATACAGGTTTGGTCCTGCATGGCTTTTTACACCTCAAAACAAATCCAAGTTTAAAAAGGTGACTATGCTTTCTGAGAAAGTGGGAAAGATTTTCTTAAATGAAGCACACGGATTTCAATCATGCATATTCCTATTGTGTGCAAAAGAAATCTCAAAGAAATTAACTCCATCACATTGGTGTGCACACAAATTTAGCACTAACCTGCGTGAAATTGGAAAGTCATTATTTACTAATGATGTATCATATCAAGCAGTATCTGAGGCCTTAGACAAACCTTGACAAAGCCTTACACATTGTAGGAGTTAACATCCCAAAGCTTGTGGCAACCTGCTAGATGACTGACCTTCACTCTATGTTTCAGCTCTTGGAATCTTTATTCTTGCTTTCTTAGGTTTGTCGCCCACAACCCCATGCGACTGCAGAAACTCGGTGTGACACACGTCCTCAACGTGGCAGAGGGCACCTCCTTCATGCACGTCAACACCAGTCCAGAGATGTACGCCGGCACTGGGATTACATACCACGGCATTCCAGCCAACGACACAAAGGGCTTCAACCTCAGTGCCTTCTTTGAGGAGGGGGCCGATTTTATAGACAGAGGATTAGCACACCATAATGGCAAAGGTTAGAATGTTTACTGTTTTTTAGAGGGGTTAAACTATTTAAATACATGATTTAAAAATTGATTTTAAAGAGCTACTTTTTGATATTCTTACATTTTAGTAACTTTAAGCTACAGTAGGTAACTTTTTTACATGTATGTTAAAATTGTCACTATACTGATGGTATAATATACCAAATAATTAGTTCCTCCGGCTCCTCTCAGTTGACCATTTGTTTAATACCATTTTCCACTGGTATCATCCATCCATCCATCCTTAGTCATACACACTTATCCCGATTGGGGTTGCAAGCGGTGCTGGCGCCTAGTCAACTGGAGAGAGGCAGGGTACACCCTGGACAGACCACCAGTCCATCGCAGCCCTTTGGGATCAGTAACGTATTTTTAAAATTGAATTGGATTAAATTGCAGAAATAAACCGTTCCTGGTCAGAAACATATATATATATATATATATATATATATATATATAAATAGAAAATCTAACTCAATCTCTGACTGAGATCTGGAAGATGTCTCATTTCTGTATCAGCCCCACGACCAATGAGCCAACCAGTCCCCTTAACCAGAGACTGTCGGTCTGTAAAATAAATGGACTGTAACTGAGTCACAAGCTCCTTTTGCTGCTTTTTGAATAGAAGCAACATGATTTAATGATTAAATGGTGCTTTAATGATTCAGTCATTGTTATGCAGGGTTTCCCCCAGTGTATTATAAGCATGGCTTGTCGCCAGGCTTTACTTGCCCCATCCCTGCCAAGCTAAGCACTGTTTATTTATTATCAATATGTTTTTATTTTTTTATACACCAGTAACTGGGATTGCAAAGACAGGTTAAGTCAGGTCTGTATTTGATGCATCTATTTGGAAGGTGCTCTTGCAGAGCACCATCAGCTGTACTGTTTATATAATTCCACTTTGAAGGCTGTCTTTTAGGAGAATACTGTACACATCAAATATAAAAGCTTGAATGCAAACCTCTAAAAGCATGGCTATAATTCTGAGTTATAGTCTCAAGTTTAGAGGTTTGCGTTGAGTGCACCGTAAGGCTGATGTGAGCACAAATAACTTTGTTGAACAAAGAGTAATGTGCGTGTGTGCATTTACATCTCACGCTCGCTCAATACATGTTCTGGCACATGTTTGGCTCTTTGTCTGTACTTGCGATTTGATAAAATGGATTTAAATCAACCACACCACCAGCCAATCACAGACAGGTCTTTTTCATCCAAGGTATTCCTTGCAAATACTGCATTCGCTTGGATAAATAGCAGTCATTCACAACTAGCAATGCAAAACACTTTACTAAACAAACTGGAAGGATTTAGGAAAACACAAGAGAACTTACTACAATAAATATTTAAGCTTTATAGAATATTTAAGAATGAGAATATTTAGTAAAGCATACAAATATCCGTACTCATCATTGTCTAAGGTAATATTTCTTTTAATTTGCATTGTTTAAATGTAACCAGCATTATATAATTTTATATATATATATATATATATATATATATAATTCCTTTTTTTTTATTCCAATAAAAGGAATTAAGTCATATTAATTCCTGTCAACTTCTAACATTTTTTAACACAGCCGCGCTAGCACCGTTACCATTGGGCTTAGCAAGTTTTCTGGGGGAAATCCTGGTTATGCGTCTTGAAGTGAGGACAGAAGATAATCACGAAGCTAAATCTGAAACTCTCCCGAGCCCTGCTCCATATTCTGGTGTCAGATCACGTCCCTGGTTGTCAACATTGTCAAAAAGTTTTATGTGTTACACAGCTGGATCTTGTGGATCCTGTTTTAACCAGGATCTCTAGCATTTTTAGTGTTTTTGTTTAAAGGAACAAAACAGCAGAAACCGCCAGGGAGCTGAGTGTGGAATTTGATGCTGCTGCCAGGTCAGGTGTTCTGTACAATAACAAAGAGTTTCAGCGAGCAGAGCAGAGGAAACATTCAATCCCACGAGGACATAGCCATCCTCCACCTGGAAATTCTCACCAGCTCTTTTAAAGTTTAAAGAAAATGTAGTCGACAATTATAATTAGTGAGCTGAACCCTGGATTTTATGTCATAATTTTATTGCTAGATGTAACACAGGAGGGCATCTTAATTAGCAGACAGTTTGACAAAACCTGAAGAGCGCAGTATAAATCAGATAAATAACTATAAAGCGCTGCAGTGGCAAAGAAAGAATAAATGAGCAGTTCAGGATGGTCTTGGAGCCTGTTATGCGTGTGCTTTTGCTGCAGTGGGACGACGTGTTCTGCACAACATTAGCTGTGACATTTTATAGCTCTCAGCTCCAAAAAGGTCATGGTCAAGATTTTAATGAGGACCTGCACTCATGCATTCTTAATAAAATAGGGTAAAAATGAGGCAATAGTTTGAGTGGTTTTGCTAAAATGCTCATGCCGCAATTGTTTTTTTTGTTTTGTTTTGTTTTTTAAATTAAGCAAAAGAAAAAAATCAAAAGAGTTCAACAAATTTGATATGCAACCATGTTTTTCTTAAAATATGGATTAGTCATGGTAAAAAAAAAAAGTACACTTTAAACTTGGAAGGTTTTTCATATGTTTTGGGGTATATTTAAAAAATTTAGACTTTTTTTAAAATATAGATCTTTTTTTAGAATTTTTGGGTCTCGAATAATCACATTTAAGAAACTTTTTTTTTTTTTTTTTTGGTTGGTGGATGTCTAAGTTTTGTGCTGTTGGGCGGTGTCTCACTGTGGTACATGCTCATACTTAACAGATGCCAAAGGTCAGAATGCTAAAGGTCACAGAATGGTGTAAGCCTGTTATAACGTGAATATCACTGCTCAACAGTGATATTGCATTTTCATGATTTTCTTTTAAATTACTGTGCAACCATATCCATAGTCAATCATTGCATAAGGCATATAATTTGGCTGTAGCTGATTTCAGTCAAATGAAACAAACTAGGTGAGAAAGCAGTAAAAGTGTCTGTTCTGACACTGAATGGGGTGAAATAATGACTGAGGGTATAAGCCAAAGATCCCGCATCTCTAACAGGATGATTCAGATTCAACATTGATCCACGGTTGGCAGGAGTATTAGGAGCAGAAGAGGTCATGTCATTGGAAGGGTTTTCTCAGTCAATACAAAGGAAGCGAGGGAAGGAAATGAGATGTTATAAATAGAATAAATACAAGGACACAGAGGGGTTGGGCTTTCAAAGGAAGTGCAGAATCTGCAGATCTGACCTGAGATCAGTATATCAGCTACTTTGTTAAATCCCTCATGGGGTTTTCAGCCACTCTGTGAGGACAGTGGAACAAAGATTTATCTTAGGATATAACAAGCAGTACAGTATATATATACCAGATACAGATACAGACAAGTCTGCTCAGTCTACGTGTGGCTTTGCTCTGGTGTGATTGATTTCTGCAGCAGAGGTTTGGTCTTGTATTTGCATCTCCTGGCAGAAAAGTTGCTGTGCTCAGCAGCTTTAGTCACAGCATCTGTCCCCCAACTTTTCTGTTTCTTTATTAATTCATCATCTCTGTGTTTGCTCCCATTTTTCTTCACCCTGCTGCTTTTATTCTTTTCCACCAGTGGTTTTACAGTTGTGCAATTTTGCTTAAAACCTTCAAACTGATTCTGTCAAGATGCTTTTTACTGTTAGATTTTGTATAATCTGATCACAGCGGTATTGTTTTACAGATAAATCTGTCTTTTTGAAAAATATATGCACAACGGAAAACGCGACCTCCATTAATTTTGTTTGTTGTTTTTTTTAGAGATATTAATCATCCAGTAGAGAAATTAAGTACGCCCTTTCCTTCAATCAAATTTGACAGATGGGCGGGACTTCTGATTTTTGAGGCGGGACTTCCGATTTGGGTATGGGGTGGGGTGGGGTCAGTGGGTGTCCGGAAGCGGGTAGGGGGTTAGTGGGGGGTTTAAATGGTAATGAATTTAACACCTCTGACAGGTGGCTCCTATTGTAATTTTCGTCTGGGACATTCATGAATTAGCCAATTGAAATAGAGTAGGGTGGGAGGGGGGTGGCGTTGTTAGGTTTATAAATAGGGTTAGAGAATACAACACTCTACTTGTAGCGTTTTCTACAGAAGAGTCAAGCAATGTATGGAGATCAACGAATTCTTACTGAAGGTCAAGGACCACATCTCGTATATGAAATCCCAATATCTGTGTACCCGGAACCGGACCGCGCAGGGGATAATGCTGCCGAGGGCTGTTCAACCTCTGATGCACCCGGTCTGTCGACTGCATCTTCAAGGGGGTTCTTGACGAACGAATCATCTATTCTATGTGAGATCTCGGTGTCAATCTCTAAGTACTCACCTTGTCTACAGGATGCTCCTAAGAAATCTACATTTTATGTGTGCCTGGTGCAGAGAGCGCCTTTTTTTGAGAAATTGAAAGAAGACTGGTCTTTGGAGCCTTATGGGCTTTGGGGGTCTTTCGGCTATGTTTTTTCAGTATGAAAGAGGGGAGCTTTACCTGTACCAATTGGATAAAGATGAAGAACTCGCTCCGCTAACGGCTACGTGCAGCCTGACCTCCAACGATTGGGCTGTGTTAAAGTATACAATCCCCTACTTCATTGATTTCTCTTCCAGTTTCTACTTTAATTAGCTCCTGTTATATATGCTAAAAGAAAAATGAGCAAAAAGTAAAACTTTCCACTCCATCAACAATTTACTAAACTTTAAGTTGAAATGAAAGTGCATCAACATTTACAGTTTTTTTTAAATGCATAAAAAAATGTTTGCAGTGACGCATGCCTTAAATGAGTGCTCTTCACTGTTTTGATGTTGACCTTATAGGGAAGGTATATGTACACTGCAGAGAAGGCTACAGCCGCTCCCCAACCATGGTTGTCGCTTACCTTATGATGCGCCACAAAATGGACGCCCGGACGGCTCTGGCCACCGTGAGACAGAAGAGAGAGATCGGCCCCAACGATGGCTTCCTCCTCCAGCTGTGCCAACTTAACGAGAAGCTGGTGAAGGAGGGTAAGCTGAATGGAGAGGTGGGCAAAACGAAGACCAAATGAAAACAAGAGAGATGTCTGTCAGGCAGGTCTCTTCCTGCCAGGCAGATCGCACCCTAACCAAACCAGCACCCATCTAACATATCAGGGGTACAAACATGCATTTATCTGTGTAAATACCTATCCTTCATCATATGTGCATAAACAGTTTCATTTCCCATCCTCCTTTTTATTAGTCCACACTTCACCTCTGGGCAGATTTTCCTGCAAATTTCAGCTCTAAATTTATATAGCAACAAGCTTACCTTTCTTTAATTCCCACAAGTTAATAAGACAAACACCTTGCCCTGATTTATAAAACATCCTTACAAATTTGTATTTAACAGATTATAGCACAATCATTCCATAGTTTCCCACTGCCGGAATGTCAGTGATGTCTCTGTGAACAGAAGTAAATTTCAAATGGAAAAATGAAATTCCTTATTAATAAAAATGTGTGACCATAGACAAAGAGTGCAGGAAGGATATTCCCAAACATTCCATAGACTACAACAGAAAAAAAAAGACGCCCAGATTTAATCCTTAAAGTACTCAAGTCTTTATCTTCCTTCTGCTGCTTTGTGGCAGATATTTCATGCACACACAAAAAAGCAAAACGGTGAAATACACTTTCTCACTCTCAAATGCATCCAAACTCTGGCTGTAGTGTTTCAGTTTTGGCCTCTAGCTTGACAACATTGGCAGTGAAAGTGTTTATCCACCGAGAACCAGGAAGGGTTGAGATAATTAAAAATAATGAGCTGTGCAGGTTACTCATGTTACAGCTGTGTTTGTGAGTTTGACAGATATTCCTTTTAGTTGGATTGTGAGGTCTCTATGGTAAAAAAAAAAAAAGATGGAAAGGCAATATCTATTTCAATTATATTTCAATCTATTTTAATTTTATTAACTTCCATGTGACAAAATCAATATTCTCCAGCTGAGAAATATTCTCAGATATACAACTTGACATCTACTTTTTATGTGGCTAGCCTTTTGATTGCAGAGGCAGATAAAGTAATCTCCAAGCTCTCTGCAGCACTATAAGCCAGTTCAAGGTTTACATTTTTAGTTTTGTATAAGATCTCTGTAATAAATCAGAAATCACAGTAGAATGATCTGTCTTCACTAGAGGAAAATTTTCTTCTCTACAAATTCTTGTTGTACTGCTGTAACCAAAGCTAATTTAAATTAAAAGCATAGTTTATTGAAAGTTAAAGCTTACAGTTCATTATACATTTTTTTCCCCTTTGGCTTCTTATGATGTTGCACAATCAAGTTTTAGACTGTAAACTGTACCTACCCTGAAATTACTTCAACGGAAAGCAGACGTCTCCAGTATTCTGCACATTGCTTCAATGTTTCAACAATGTTCAGTCTGTCTACTAAATCAAAACCCCTGATTTAATGTATCCTAAATTAAGGTTTGCCAATAAAAGAGAAGATTATAAGCTTTATCTTTCACAGTGCGAGGCCCAGTATTGCTGTCATAAGGGAGGTTCAGAAAGCCAATCTGGCCTTTCAGTGTCAAACGTATCAGCTGGGAAGGATGCCATTGGCCTTCAATCGAGAGAGTTTCTGTCATCACAACAGAGAGTAAATACACTGCCAGTTCCCTGACACAGCCCTTCAACCAGTATCACATGCCACTTTTTCATCAACACCGTTTATCACAACACACTCACACCCCTAAGTGTGTGCCAGACAGAAGCTCATGCACACACAAACACACTTCCTTTGTTTGTATGCACTAAAAGCATTGCAATATATGTCAATACCCTATCAGATATATAGAATGTAATCATATTTAGGATGACTAATCCAGCAGTACTCGTTATGTAACGACCTCAGTTCTATGATTCTTCGCTAACGACATTGCATTTACAGCGTTAGTAGACAAAAGTGTAAATTATTTTGTCCAGGAAAGGATGATATATATACAGTAGATTACAGTGAAATATGTAGATGAAAATCTCGCTTCAGTATGAAAGTCTGTGTCCAGCAATCCAGATTATATAAAACTGGAGGGACAAATATTAAAATGACTCTTTCACCTCATTAATGCCACTATTAATTCCTCTCTCAATATATCTGTATACATCTGAATATATATATGTATATGTACACTGTATATACATATTTAAGTGTTGACATATATGAATGTACAAGCAATGTGTTTATAACTTGTAGGTATTGTCATTATGTTCTTTACTATCATGTTATATTTGTATATGGGTCCTTCCGCCATCGCCACTGTATTAACAACAAAACTACATGTTCATTAATATTCAGATATATGCATGTCAAGTGCTGTATAATTGTGATATTTTAACCACTTCATTTTAACTGGGGCACTTTCCATTTTGTTTAGAGATGCAATCAGCTGGCCAAAGATTATGGGGCGGGGGGAGGCAATTTGTTAAATTTTCTGTTTACAGTTTGAATATGTTTTACTCGAATATTTAGAGTTTATAATAGTTAGAAAAAATAATTTCAAACAGTAAAATTTATAAGAACCCTGGAACAATTAGGAATATGCTTTATCACATAAGTAGAAGTATTCTTGTTGTCTTTATTAAAGCACCTGAAACACACGTTTCCTTTTCTCTGTGTTCCAGTACTTAGATTGGGGAAAAATTATATTAGACATTGGCCAGGACAACCTTGATTGATGCATCTCTGATAATTTTTTCTAGTTTGTCACCATGAAGTTCCTTCATGAATTACAGCCACATGCATACTTATTATCAGCAGGTGTGCCATCATACACAAGGATGCACTAAGGGCAATCACCCATTTAAATGGTAGATGTTATACATAAGCAGAACAAAGTATTTCTTTGTGCCATTTCACCACATTTTCTCTCACAGGTTGTGCTTATTACAAGTAAGAAGAAATAAAAAAACCCAACTTGTCCATTCTAGAAACTATACACTCCACACAAACTCCTTTAAAAAAGTATAAACTGTAATGTCACTAGATTATTTGACACAGAGCAGCTTTTCAATTATGCATCAATCTTAAATTCAACAAAGTCTTAAGTTGCATAATATAAACAATTTAATTATGGGACTTTTTTGCATAAGATGACCTTTACCTAAAAAGCAAACAGCATCTGTTCAGTCCTGCTGTGATATCCTCACATAACTGTCGCCCTCTAGTGACAGAAACAGATGGTGTGGCCGCCTGTTCTCTGTATTAATGACTTTTGTTTCACTTTGCAAACGGTGGGTGCATAGGACATAAAAATCTAACTATTTAGAAACTTTACCACTAGATAATTCATGCTCTTGTTGTGTATTCTGTCTTTATTTATCCTGTTTATACGAAAATTCAAGAATGAGACCATTTCATCGTCATCATCAGCTTTATTAAAGACACAAATGGGTCCATAGAAAGATAATTTAAGAGAATTAAGAAAAACAATCACGTAAAACGATAATCACATATACAAGTCACAGATTTACAGAAAGGCTAGACCGCCAGTGATTCCACATTCTGGACTTAAACGTGACTGAGCTTTGTGAAATATCTGTTAGTATCTGGACGATGTTTGTAGAAACACGTAACCTCCACATAAGCCTGTACATAAATTTTCGTTAGACAGCATGAAAAGTGGAGACACCAACAAATAACGGACTAGCACTAGTCCATCTCGGCATCCTAAGCAGCATCCTCATTCCATCATTGTATGCCACTTTGAGTTTCTGTAAACTGTTTGGTTTATACTGTCTCTATAAGTGAGCAGTATACAGAGGAGTGCAGGCTTTAACGAGAACCGCTTTCACTGAAACAGAACACATCCCGAGCTTGCGTACCAGCATGTTGGCTGGTACGCAACATTAAACAACGTTTACATATGTAAATATATTTGTCCAATTTGATTAATTGGACAAATATATTTGAATATTTGATCTCTAAATCTTCTCTGTGTTAAAAACTTTAGGGATGACATGTCTTCATGTTCCTTGCTTGTAGCTGTCAAATGTGTTTGAAATTAATTACACAATTACGCCATCTTCTTATGAGCCCTTCCTTAAAACTACTTTTTAGAACTTGTATTTAGAGTATTTTGCAAAAGTATTTTTTTTTTTTTTTTAGTTTTGTTCATTTTCCTTTCACTTTAAAGTAGTGTACTGTTTTGTGTGGGTATCACATAAAATACCAATAAAACACTGAAGTTTGGCTCTGTAACATGACAAAATGTCATGTGAACAAGTTTAAGAGGTGTGAATACTTTGCTTTGCACTTTGTGTGTAGCTCCCCCTTAATGCGCATAAATACAGAAAGGTCATTTTACAAGCCTCATATGTCATTAAAAAAACAATATTTAGACTTCCAAACATTCACTGACATGTCCAGACCTTCTGTGAACTCTGACTCATTATTGGCCATGAAGAAAAGCCAGATAAGGTAATATTCTCACAGGGAGTTAAACGCGAGTTCAGACTTTGTTGAACGAGAACAAGTGCAGTTTTACTGTTTCTCTGGCCTGGTATATGTACAAGTTATTCCACTCAACTCTGACCTGTTTCAAATTTAGTTGTGTGAAAATGTCAGAGTTGATCTTTAAAGCTGCTCGTTAGATTCCCCCCCATCCCCCTCACATATGCTTCCTTCTGTTGTTAAATAGCCAGGAGTTGAATTTTAAAGTCAAATTTCTCACTGCATGGTTTATTTTCCGTGACTTGGTCATAGATCTCACACCGTACATTGACAGCGGAGCCGACATAATAATCCAAAATGCAGAGCACCCACTCTACTGCACAAAAATCTTTTAAAGAAACTCATACGGTTTCTGTTTTATTCCTTAGTATTTGTGAGTACTGTACACAAAATCAAAGACATTTCAGTGATTGGTGCAACTCCTTTAAACAATTAAACAATTATAATCAACTGCTTGCAGTGATCTGCTTGTTGCTTTCAGACAGAACAGGTTTCAAAAACAAATTGCAGTCTTTCATTTAGCAAACCAGCAATGTCAAAGTGTAGTCCCCAAAGGCCAGTGTCCTGAAGCTTTTGCATGTCTCCCTGGCCTGCACACCTGAATCAAACTAATACATTGTAGCATTATACTGAATACTAACTTAGCAAAGTCCTGCTAAGAACCTAAATATTCAATTCAGGTATGTTGAAGCAGAGATGCATCGAAAAGCTGCAGGATACTGCCCCCTTGAGGACTGGAGTATGACACCTGCAAAGCTTTTCTGACATCAGTAAAGTGAAAAAGCTTCTCTGTGACTAGACATGGGCTGGTATTAAGATTTGGAGAGATGTTGCGACCTCAATCAAATGTTCAAGGTGTTGGGAGGCCTAAACAAACCACAAATAAATAAATTGCTAAACTGAATTGCTTTGTTCCTAAATATGACTTGCAAGAAGTGTCTATAGCCTATCAAAATGATGTTAGTTTTTTATTTATCTGCCACTGCAGGAAAGCTTGTATGAAGTGGGTTGTTTATTTCACCAGTAGAAATGATCCATCAGATCTTGTTTGGTTTAAATTGTACTGTTAAAAAGTGACAGATGCCACTCCAATCTATGTCTTACAGCCAACTCTGATTTGTTTGTTTGGAAGTATGGAAAGCTTTTCAGGGAATTCTCCACCTTCAGGCATCCAACACGGCTTATTAGCTGCTCAAAGTAACAAGTGTGGGGAGGTGAACCTTACCCAAATAACTTTTTCTTAATTTTTTTTCTCCTACAAGGTATATTTTCACACTGCTTACGTTATCGTATTTGTTTTGCAAGGCGTCTGTAGGCTTTGTTGGAAAGGAAGGTTTTGGAAAATTCCCCATGTGCACAGCTGACTGACTGCTTTCAGCAGCAAGCAAGAGGAAGTTGAACACAATTGTCTGTCATTCTACTAAACTCTTAAACTGTAATAGTGAAAAAAAATAGAACCACTGCTTTTCTTTAAAAAAAGAATTAGAAACTGGAAGCCAGCCCATGTCTGGATGTGACAAAATATAAAAAATGCATACATCTTCATTGCTGGTTCTTTAATGCATTGAGAAATAGAGAAACACTGCCGTCTGCTGTTCAGCCTGTATATTTGTTTGGACATATTACAGTAGTTTCTGACCATGTTTTGACATGCGTTTGCCTCTTTTTCTTACGTTCAGCATATTCCATACATTTGTTTACACAATGCCAGCACTATTTTGTGGATCACACAATGTATTATAAAGAATGTGAAATGCCATTTTTAGATATTATATATGAATCGTGAATTGCTGCGTTTTATCCTCATAATCGGCCTGTTGCAGTGTAAAGATTGGACAGTGTTTGAATGTAATAAGTTAAAACTTGTTTTGTTTTTTTAAAGTTTGTGAAATTATTGACATTTGGTTGTAAGTTCTTTGGAGGTTTAACTCATTTGTACTGCTTTTTTTGTCGCTTTTTTTGTACAAACTATTCTTGTGACGTACTTCTTCAACCATTCTGTTAAATATCCTTCGTCATTATCTGTGTTGCTTTTGGATGAGTCACCTACATGAATAATGCTAGTCAGAGCTGGGCCAGACTGTAATTGTAACTCATTTGCTTTGCAGAAGAGGCTTGTTAAATCAATCAAGAGTAGCCAGGTAGTTGTGTTTATTATCACAGAAAAGTACATAAATCGACATATAAGTAATTTCCTGCGATTTTCTCTTAATTTTGCAATCCCATGCGGTGTAAGTCAGCCATCTGTCGGCCATAAAAAGCTGAGATGATAGTCAATTGATATCTCACAGCATGGAAAGTCGTCTGGTTTAACTCCTCTAAATTGTCCACCATGTAGTAATCTCTACCCTCTGGTGCTCTGGAGGACTTTCAAACATATGCTGGAAATTACTTACAAATACCGCTTGGCCCAGGTGACACTCCATCTGTCGTCATTTTCTCGCCTCCATTCTGATAAGTGGCTTAAAGCAGGCGTTTTAGCACAAATGAGCCCACTGCCTGACTCCTCTGGAGTCTATTATGAGGTCCACTTCTTGTCTCGTTACGTTTGTGTTCATGTGGAGATTCTGCAAAAGGTCTTTGTTGTGATGTTGGATTGTCTGTAAATGGGTCTTTGTCATTGCTGACGTCTCAACAGAAGCATCACCACCCAAAGCCTTACAGTAATGACTGATTCGGGATACGTTTTTCAGTTTGTGTATTTCACTTCAAGCAGCTGGAAGGGGCAACCCGTTAAAAAGTTGGATGTTGTTGAAGTGCACTTGATTTTAAATTGCTGTGTTATTTTTCTTACCTTGGAGCAGTCCATTATTTCTTATGTTTAAAAACAAATAAATGAATGAGGTATTACCATCTTAGACTCTGTTTTTTGCCCCCCAATCACTTTTCACAAAAATTTAACACTGTAGCATTCCCTACATGAAATGTAGGAATCCCAGTATACCCCCGGGCATACTGGGATGTCTCCTGGTACCTAATCCTGGTAGCACAGGCCCTATGTGCTGAGACACACAGCAAATCTTCTCACCGCCACTTGAAGTGATGCTTAGTTTTGGATTAGCTGCACTACTTGAGCAACTTAAGTGGGCTGTAAAAATAAAAAAAAAACACACCTCATGATGCCTCAATGTGTGACAGCACTGACAAAATGAAAAAGTGACTAAAAGTTCAACCAGAAAGCACAAGAACAGAAAAGTGATTTGTGGTCACCACCTGCAGAATCACTCTTTTATAGGGGTTGTCTCGCTAATTGTCTCTCATTTCCACCTGTTGTGTGCTCCATTTGCACAGCAACAGGTGGAAATCGATTCACAATATGTGGTACTACCTAACCAGTGACACTGATCCCACAAAGGCATGACTGATTTGGAGTTGCATTGTTTTGTTTAGGTGTTCCCTTTATTTTCTTGAGCATTGCATATGTACATTAATCTGTGCTTTTGAGTGACTGGAAACTCACCAGTTAAATCAGGCACTTTCAGGTTTTTATGCCTTCAATGAGTTCATGTGGCTAAAGTGATAAAAATGGATTTTGTGTACAGCTTTGGAGCTTTTAATCTTTAGAGCACACTAATACTAAACCTCACAAACTATATTAAACCATCTTTTTTAGTTAAAAAAAAAAAAAAAAAAAAAACATAGTCTGACTCTGACCTCAACCTGACCCCAGATATGAAAAAAAAAAGTCTGGAAAATCAGTAATTTTGAAACAGAAATGTGTAGGAGACTGGTCTAACGTCCAAGCAAATCCAACGAGGCAAATAAATCCAAACAGGTGGCTTTCTCATCACCCCAGGAAGTAAACCAAAATAATAGCAAATTTGAAATGCAACAAAACACTCAAAGCAGCTGTGTCTCAAGTCATGTTTGATTAAAGTCAGGCTAGAGTAATGGTGAGCCTCACTTTATTTATTTTTTTATTCAATTCAGAATTTTTCCATAAGTTTTTTTTTTTTTCTTTGACATAACTATCTGTTTCTGCAGTCTGAAAATGAAGGAAGGTTTCTTGTTCTCTATAAGCCATGAATTTAAATAAAAGACTAAAACTGACTACTTTTACATTGATTAGATATCAAAATTGGACCTAGTGTCATCACGACAGTGTCACTTTTTTTTTTTTTCTAAGTATTTTCTGGTTGAAAAATCTGCAAAACAAAACACTTGCAGTTGCATACAATATTGTCTCAACCTATCCATCTGCAGTCTTTCAGATTTTCCTAATTTTATACAATATGTTATCTGAAGCAAAAAAAAAAATACTTTAAAATTTTGAAATAAATTTAAATCTAACCAAGTTGCATCAAATCTAGATGAAGTCTAAAATAATGAAACAAATAGATTCAGGATTCCGTAAAAATAAAATAATGAATTACCGGTATACTTTTACCACTGGCACAGCTCACCATAACTAAAACTATATATATATAAAAAAAAAAGATTCAGAAATAAAACGGAAGGATCCTGAAATTTCTCCAAGTTCTGATCGTTCACAGCATTGACCACTAGGTGGAGCCAAATCCCTCTGTTCAGCTTCCGTAGGAAAGCGGAGGTTAATGACGGAGAACGAGCGGAGCTGGGAGAGGTCTGAAGGGAAATGACATACAGAGCAGGAACGAGATTACACAGAGAGGCTGAGGAAACCTTCCAAGTCTAGTTCTCCAAGTGTTGATGCAAATACTATTTTATGTTTCACAAGACTCGACCTGCACACCTGGGATGGACCACTAACGCAGCACGACATCCATCAGAGTTGCTGAAAATGCTCAAACCAGCCTGAGTTACTTTTTCTCCACCTTCTCTGCCTCTCTCCATCTCTCCACGCTCTTTTGCACTGCAATTACTGCACGCCAGCTGTGTGGTACCCCAGGGGCCTCCCAGTGAAACAGCGAGCCTCCTTCCTTAAAGTCTTACAGTACCTTGGAAAAGTCTTCATACTATTTGAACTTTTTATTTTATTTTATTTTATTTTTTTTGCATTGGTCACATTACAACTTCACAAAAAGCATGTTTTAATAACATTTGATGAAGCATTTCACTTCAGCCTTGAGTCAGTACTTTGTGTAACTTTGCTGCAATTACAGCTCCAACATTTTGAGGGTGCGTCTAAGAGCTTTGCACATCGTGATACTAACATTTTTGCCAATTTCTCTTAACAGAGTAGCTCAAGCTCAGTCCGATTGGACGAACAGCCATCAGTGAACATCAACTTTAAAGACTTGCCACAGATTCTTGGTTGAATTAAGTCTATGATTTTTTTTCTGGATTATTCCAATGCATGAATTTGCTTTGATCTAAAACATTGAGCCAAGTCTCTAGATGAATATTAAATTTTGCTGTCCAGCTGGTAGGTGAACCCTCAGTTCCAGTGTCAAGTCTTTCTGGATGTAGATTTTATTACTTAACCCTGCTGAATACAAATATATGCCACATTTTTCTTCAAAAAATATACAGAAAACCACATATGCTTTTTCTTTCACTTCACAACGTGAAAGGTGTGTGTTGTCTATCTCTTAAAATCCCAAGAAAAATACATCAGTTTTTATTTGGAATGTGGTTAAATGTGAAAACAGTTCAGCTGCCTGAACATCTTTGCAGTCAATATTTTTTGAAGCAAAGGAAAGGTGAACGACTAATGCAGGGACATGCAGGGTCTGTGATTGAGAAAAAACGCCATGTCCAAGTTTCTGCAGGGAGCAATAAAAGTCAGGAAGCAGCTCAAGTGAAAAAGGAGGAATTATAGGTCCCCTTCAGCTGCTTATTTGAAGGAGCCCAGGATGCTTGTTTCTAAGATCTCATCAATAACATCTCAGGTCTCAGTGTGATGAAGTGCCACTTAATTCCGCGGTTTGCAGCGAGTGGAAATGTTTACAGCTGACGCCGGAGTCAAAACAGACAGGTTCCTGCGTTCGGTTATTTCCACTGGTGTCATTTCGACTTATTTCCACCGTGGATGGATTTAATTTCCACTTTTCAAATAAAGGTGAATTAAAATGTCAAACTTTAATTAGAATTTTAACATCTGTACTTTTTTTCTTTTTTTTCTTTTTTACCTGATCTCGTGATTTCTCTCATCAGGTTTGAGTAACAGAGGTGAAAGCTTGTGTTTCATTCTTGTTTATGGGGAAAATGAATCACGGTTGAGAAACAGGATATCCAATATTTTACAGACATTTTTAGCCCTGAAATTCTTTGAACATTTTTATTGCTTGTTGACTCATTTATCCCGTTTCCTTCAGAGTGCATGGAGTTGATCCACAGTCACATTTTTCCTTTTCTTCTCTCCCATATGTTTAGATTTGTCAAAGTACTTTAGGTCTTTTGGTTCGCTTTTTCCCCCAACCAAGCCACTCTGCTTTAATCTTTATCCTCATTTTAATGGCTTTATCAAATAGAAAGCATATGATGCTTTCTTTAAATCTCCATATCCTGTGTACACACTCAGAGTATGGAGAAATAAGTCACATCTGTGGCACAGCGTTAATTATTAGAAAAGATCAAGATTTGGGGAAAATTGGCAAATACGAGAATGGGCTTTGTAGCTCAGAGATCTTCAGATCCTCTTCCAAACGCCTGTGCCCGTGGTGCTTTCCCTCGCTCGTTTCATCTCTGCTGCGCTCGCTGTGCCGAACGTTGTTCCTGCGGGTTGAGCGTTTACACATCGCACCCACACCCTGATATGAGGATAAAGCTTTCGCGTTAAGCCAAAGAAAGGACACTGTTTGAGAAAACTTGTTGAAACTGCAGACAGCAGTCAATGAGTTTCTTTTTCCTGTTGTCCTTCGAGACTTAATTTAAAAATCGACGAGAGAAATGTTGTGCTAATGAAGCCCTTGATTGCTATGGATAAAACTCAAATATATCCATAAACTCAAACATCCTTATGTGGGACTGCTCTTTGTGCTTGTAGGACATTGTGAAGCTGTCGAAAGTTAATGAAGCAGAGTTTTTACTCAACTTTTAAAAACTATTTTTCAGTTTTTCTCCCGTCAGTTTTTCAACCACAATACAGCAGACGCTGGTAAAATTTTTTTTTGCAAAGACAGATGTATTAACATCTTGTTCGAAAGACTCAAAAATACATTCAAGTAAACCAAAATCAAATGTGGGGTTCCACAAGGCTCAACTGTCTGGCCCCTTTTTTTTTTTTTTTTTTTCCAACATTTCTATGTTCACTGTAGCTCAGATTATGGAGTTTTACAACTATTAAAAACTATTTCATGCTTCTGATTATTGTGATTGCTTATGAACCATTTTCCACAAAAACAGAATAAGAACCAACCAGACAGCTTATTGACAATGCTTCTGCCGGATCAATACCAGGAAAGTCAGCAAATTTCTGCTTATTCAGTGTTGTCACCAGAATTAGACAATAGAGAACAGTATTAGCTTCTAGGCTTCACTTAT